CATATAGTCGTATTCCCGAATGAGGAATTTTTTAGTTTGACTTTGAGCCGGAAAGTGTAAAGTTGTATAACTTTTTCTATTTACTTTTCTATCTTCACATTATTGTTTTGAAATTGTTTGCATCGATTAATTTTAATGGGGACGAGCAGGGCCTCTCATTCCAGTCACTTCCTTATCATAAAGAAGAAAAGGGAATGTTAAAATCAAAATTGGCCTTCATTTAGTGAAAGTTCACTATGCCCAAATTAGTCCTCAATTATTAACCTGTCAAATTACTAACATGTCCTCAATTTTATATACAGATTATATTCGTTAGTCGAGAAAATAGTCATTTGGCTAAACACTCCCGTTTGGTTCGTGGATAGTTTGAACAAGAATTCATCAAATTTTTACGAGAAAAAACACTATTAAACCGGGTTCAAACCCATCTATCAAACAAGCACTTTTTTTCTTTGCTTCTCATACCAGAATTTCTATCCCTCTTTGTTTCATTATTTCTTACCAAAGGGAGTTTATAATATTGAATAACAGAAAACCTGCAATGAACAAGGAATTGGAAAAGGAAGAAAGAGTGGGACAGATAACTTTAGAGCTAAAAAGCTGGAGATATGAGCAGGGACCATTCATCTTAGTACCGAATAGTTCTTGTTCGTTTTGGCGTCTAACTTCCAAAGTAGAATCCAAATACTCCAAAATTTACCAATTACTATATAAAGCATTGCTCAGGGGTAAAAACCTAAAAAGCAAGATGATTTCAAACTCTATAGGCCATGGATGGATGTAAAATTCTGTTCTGTCCCCTAAGAATGTAAGATTGGCAATTGCATTTCCATTTTAACCCAGGGGAAGATTAAGAAATATTAGAAACTTAGGATGATCCACCTGTAATTGGAGCTCACGAAGTTTATCAAGCGACATAATCCACTTAACTGCTAATAATTATCTCTTATCAATAATCCTCCAAAAGATATAGGCCTCGTTCATTTCACCGATTCGAGTTTAAAATTTGAGTTTTGTTATAGTAAAAAGCTCTCAGAAACAGTCACATCTAACTTTTTTACTACAGTAAAAAACTATCACATAAAGTCACATCTCAACTCGAATCAGCGAACTAAACGGGCCCGCACTATCTACAAGAGGAAATTTATACGGTGGGGGCACTCTATGTACCTTTTATTGACCACAAACGCACAATTTAAATTAGAAGTGATATATGACATCCAACTTGGATATTATGGGAGGATTTCTTCCTTCCACCCTGTATTCACAAGGGTCACTTGTTTCAAATCATATGATTGCGGTCAATAACTCAATAATAGACAATCGTGAGGATAAATTGATAGGCATTTGAAAGTGCATGAGTCGAGGTTTTTATTTTTTACTCTTGATTCATAACATTTTTAGTCAAATAATTATACTAATAAAATGGTATTTATTAAGAGTAAGGAATAAAAGTCCAGACTCATGCACTCTTAAAAGTAAATTCTCTATTTTTTTCTAAATTATATATTTATTGAAAATTCTAACACGTGAATATTAAATGCTAAGCTTAAAACATAATAAAAACTCAATACATAATGACAATTTAAAGAATGTGAATATAACAGGTTTAAACTCAAAACCTCTTACTCTGATATCATTTTAATTTGAATAATTTATCTTAAAAGTTTAACTTATTAAGAGGTGTGCTAACAATAATTTTTTATATTTCAACAAAAAAAAAAATATCACTACAAAGAAAAGAAAGAAAAGAAAGTAAAACTAACACAGAGGCTGGAATAGAAGCAAGCAAGCTATCTAAACCCACAAGACATGAAATTCTGCCCTCTTTAGAAGCTGCTCATGCGACCCAACCCAATGCATGGCATTCATTTAGGAATTTATGACTTTTTCTCTTTCTTGCAACTTTAACAAGACTTCCTGTACAAAAATTCACTGAGAACTCTACGGTATTTTTTCAAAAAAAATGAACATAAAAAATGAAAAGCACGCAAAACTCTGTTTTGAACTCGGAGTACCACTATCGGTAAGGATTCCGTACAAAGAAAGCTCCAAAATTCAGGAACTTTTACTTTCACCATTCATCATAATTTCGAAAAATTTCACAGCTATTGATTTAAGCTATCATCTTTTAACATACAATCCAACTATATCCTATTGAGAATGTACTGAAAGAAGAATTTTCAGTGCAAAGATGAAGAGTGAAGAAGAGGGTCAAGGCCAATCCATAATCGGGGGAGGAGAGCTTGTGCTCTGTTTTGAGGAACTCAATTTTAATCTGCCCAAACTATATTTTTTTGCCGTGTACACTTAACATATAAGGTGGCTTCAAAACCAATAAATTTTCTTTACATCGTCAAATGACTTTGTTTCTTACATTTTCTAGGGCAGCAACTCCATCTGTGTTCTCAAAATCCCGTCACACATGGATGCAAAGACTACAGAAACATACACACACACACACACACACTCAATTTGAGCCTAAGGTTTTGAGAGTGTATAGCCAATTCCCACATCATGATTTTGCAAAGAACTACTTTTGGCAAGAGTCCGTTGTGTGATTTCTACCTCCACTTATGTCTATGCAGTAGCGGAGTCAGCTTTTCATTTCAATGAGAGCGTATACTAAATTTTTTTTAACAAATTATCTTAATTGAGCATATAAAAAAAAATTTATTTTAGTGAGAACATATATTATTTCAGTGAGGGTTTAAGTGTAAAATTTTAAAATTTTTAAAAGTAATAATTTTTTCAAAAAAATTTGAGTGAAAGCAGCTGCCCCCGTTCATCTTCAAGTGGCTCCGCTACTGTGTCTATGTACCAATATTTCTACCTCCACTTATGTCTATGTACCAATCTATGTTTCTATTTCCTTCCCAAGATCACAATAATCAACATATGTACACTATGATACCATGATGTGCCAACAAAAGACTTTGTTCATTCATCTAAATGTCCATTCAAAAACACCCAAGGCACAATATATGGATATGGAATTTTAGCCAAATGAAAGAGGGGCTAAGAAATCTTCAAATGTCATTCAAAAAATGAACTTTAACCACTCCAAGAAAGGAATCAAGACTTGCACCTCCATAACAAAATAAGTCCCCCTTTAGTTCGCTAGCTTGAACTTTTTAATTTAGATAAAAAAATTCAAACCGTGTAGTTTAAATTACAGTTTGAATTGACGTTTGGATGTGTAATTAAAGTTTTAATTTGAACAAGAATAAAATTTGAATTTGTATTTGGTTGGTGTGAAAAACAAAGAAAGTTGACACTTTTTACTGTTCAAAAATGGTTTGAAAAGTTAAACTTGAGGGAGGAGCTAAACTCTAAATTGGAATGTTTAACTCAATTCAATCAAGAAATATAATTCAAACTGCATACTTATCAATCTCAGTTCAAACTAAATTGAACTTAAGAGATGACCTCCTTTTGCCGGGGGAAAAATATTCTTATTCACAACACTAGGGGCGGAGGGAGATAAGGCTTGCCCCCCCTGAATTTTTTATTTTTTTGATTTTCACCCTATATATTTTCAAGTTTTTTCATATATGCCCCCTTACACCCCCTTTAATTTTTGGTTTTTTAATTTTCACCCTATAGATTTTCAAGTTTTTTTTTCCAAATATATCCCATTCATTAACAAAAATTTCATAATATCCCCACTAAATCTAATTTAAATATTTTTTTTCTTACTTTTGGGTTTTTTTATATTGTTCTTTTGGGCTTTTCATATTTTTCTTTAATTTCTTCTAATTAAAACTTTCTTTTTTCAAATTTGTCCTTGTAGTATATTTTTTTCATATAAGCTTTATTATATGTATATATATATATATATATCAAAAAAGTGAGTCTCACAAGAAAAATTTAAATGACCCTTTAAAATTTCACTTCCCAAATGTGTCTCTAATTAAGCATTTTTTTTTTCAAACAATCATCTCAATTACTATTTACACATACATATCTTTTGTCTAATTTACCCTTGTTAAAGTAATGCATTTTTTTTTTTCAAAATCTTTTTAAATTAAAATCCATAAAAATTTTAATTCACATATTAAAAAATTTAATAAATTGATAAATATACAAGTATAAAATGTGATTCCAACCGACTAATAACGTTTATAACATTTTTCACATTTTTAATTTTTGCCCTCTAAAACAAAAACCTCGCTCCGCCACTGCACAACACCAAGTACTTGGACACAAGTCACGATCATCAGCATTTCAGAGCTAGCTCTTCCCAATCTAAATTATTTCCACTATTGAGTAAAAATCTTCTGTTCATTTTCCATCAAGACAGATTCATATTATGGAGCAGTTCTACACGTAAATATCTATGACCATTACAAGTTACACAATAAATTTCAAACTTATCAGTAATGTGAACTGAAAAAGTGCTTATTTTTTCAATGCCAAAAATGACAATCCACCCAAATCAGCTCTGAACAATCTTTTCAAATCTCACCTAAAGGAATAGAGCAAGAGACTAAGGGGTGATTTTTTTACTTTTTTGAGTTAGGATGATTTAAGTTATGATTTTAAATTGAGTTTGAGTTATAATTTGAATTGAAATTGTAACTTGAGTTTATGTTTAAATGTGCACATTTGAATTATGAATTAAATTGAGAATCTTTTTGAGTGAGTCAAAATTTAAATTTATATTTTAATAGTATTTTAATAAAGTTAGAATTAAAAAAAAAAAACTTAAATTCAAATTTTAACTTTAAACTCAAATTAAAACTCAAATTTTATAAATAATCATAAACTCAAATAAAATTATAATTTAAGTTTAAATTTTTTTTTATTTAAATTTTACTCAAAAACACAAGCCTTATGTCTTATCTCAGGAGCCGCTTCATCAACTTCTTGTACTTACGTTTGTTTATCTTTTTCTTCCTATTCGTCTTCGTGCTATCAGCCCACCACCACCACGTCCTGGGCCTCAGATGGGATCGACCCAGTTAACGGAATTGGGTTTAGACAAAACCCAAATGGAAAGCTTGGATATATCCACGAGAAAGGTACCAGATCTTCCGGTATCTCCGCACCCAGAAAAGGTTTTGGGTTTGTGAATTGGGATATGACCCAAATGAGGATCTGATTTGATTTCGTTGTGATGGGGTTGTTGAAAAATGAAGGGTACGGTGAGATTCGGCTCCGCTTGGCGGTGTAGAGCAGAAAAAACTTTTGTCGGCGGGGACTTTCTGAGGAGCTTTTGGATCGTCGAAGCCATTGAAGTCGGAAGGGGTTTTGTGCGGCCGCTTTCCGCTCTCTATGTCCACCTCGGTAAGTGCAGTGACTGTGTATGTCTAATGACTGAATTACCCTCGCTCAGTGTCAACGATGTGTTTGTTTATGAGGGATCTAGTAGTCCTTCCAAATTTTTGTGCCATTTGATTGGACCAAAACAAATTGCCTAAGTAATCAAAAAAACGACTTGTAATTTTCTAATAATTTATGTTTATTTCAAAATAAAAATGGTAGCTTTATTCCACCCGAATAAATAATTAAATTATTGTAAAAATGACAAGGTGGATCTAACAAACGATTCACTGTAATAAATAAAAATAGTTAAATGGTTGTTTCTAGAAAAGAATATGGATTTCCTCAATATATATATATATATATATATATGTGTGAAGGATTCTTTTATGCATAGTTTTTTTTTTATTGCCTTTGCAAATCAACTTTCATAAGAGCAAAATTTCTTACTCTTTTAAATCCGCAATCACCCTTGGACATTATTCTGCTTATACAATAACGAATGCGATATTTATATTTGTATGCAAAAACAATAAATGTAAATAAGAAATTTCTAGCTAGATAATATTTGTTATTATAAGCAGAACATTCTTATCATTATAATAATTGTTATTATTTTGCTTTTTATTGAAACTAGGTCATTAAAGGGAAAATGGTCATGTACTAAAAATTTTCCACAACTGAAGAGAGCTCCTCTGAAATAAAAGAATCAAGAGACAGGGATCAATTTTCTTAGATTCATTTATCTAAGTGGTTTTGGATCACAAATTAAGATATGTTCTCAATATCCGTTTTATTTTCTCATAATTCTGGAGTTTATATTTCTCGAATCTATCTACTATAGATCTAGTATATTATTATTATTATTAAAACTTTGGTTGTGTTTTCAGCTACTCCTAATTTGTTTGTATTACATTGAGAAAATGTCTCTTTTCTTACTTCTCTCTTATTCCAATGGTGTTCTATTCCAAACAAAATTGTTTGTTAGTACCACTATATATATATATATATATATATATATATTTTTTTTTTTTTAAGCCATTACTCTTCAACTCCTACAAAACTTTAACGTCTTTCGTTTTCAAAAGCTTATTATTGTTTTTAACTGTTTGATCATAGTGCAAACATGTATATGATAAATTTGCTCCATAATATTATTGGATTATTTGCCTAATAATAAAACCATAGAAAATAATATTTTCAAACCAAGATTAACAATAATAAAAAGATGAAATATCATTAATAAGAATTGGCTAGCTAAAAAATATCTGCCCCCATGCAGGATCGAACTACAGACCTTCAGTTTACAAGACTGACGCTCTACCACTGAGCTATAGGGGCTTGCTTGTCTTAGTTTCGTCAGTTTTGATTATTAACTATAATACCAAATTTCCTTCTATTATAAACTGTTTTAATGGTTTTTTTTTTCTGTTCAAAATGATCTTTTCTATTTTAGAAAAAATTAGCAGAAGATATTAAAGCAATTGAATTAAGTAAAGTAAGAAAAATAAAAACTCCAAATTTGGTATGTAAGGATAAAATATCTAATAATTATCTTATTTAAGAATAGAATATGTATTTGCCTTTCAATAATACGAAATTGGGCCGCTAATTTCTTCTTCTTTTTTTTGCCTGCTCAGCAAAAATAATAATTAATAATTTCCTCATCATCATCATCCTGTTCTTCTTCTTCTCTGCTCTGTCGATTCTGGAACTGCCACGCTCTCCCATCAACGAGCTTTTCGACTCCACCGTAAGTTTTCTCTTTGCTTTCTCTCTCTCTCTCTCTCTCTCTTAAACTTTTTCAGTTTTCTTTTTCTGTTTGGTTTGCGAGAAAGTCGAAGGAAAGCGGTAGGAAATATCGAAGCACAAGTACTCCTTGAGTCCTGAACATTACCATTTCTATTGTGTATCTAAATGCAAGATGGAAATAATTCTTGATTATGTGTTTTGGAGATAAAAATCTTGTTCTGGGCAAGCGTAAAAGAAGATTTCTTGAAGTAGAAGAGTCATTTTCACATATTTCGTAGAATAATATTCTCTTGTTACTTATCGTGCCCTAGAGTATTTGTATATGTATATATGAGCACAACTATGAACTATTCATCAATCACCACATGCATGAAAAAAAAGAAAAAATCCGTTCCATTCTTCTACTGGAAGATTTAATATACATATATGGTGATTGCATTATCAAGATGATAAATTGTATTTATATGTATAGAATTTCTGTTTGTCGGATTCATTGGCCGTGTTCTGATCAATGGCCATTTACGTTCTTTATTCAAAAATGAAAAAGATTGCCATTTACTTTTGGTAATGATTTATGGTCACCCTTCTGCCTGATAAGCTTAGTGGTGATTTGTGTTGTAGAAGGCTTTGTTTGTTATGTCAAAAGATTCAAAGGCTTTAGGTGTTTCTGAGGAACGTAATAGGGATGGACCTGATTACTTTGGTTACTATACATGTCAAGTTAAAGAGCTGTTATCAGAGGATGAAAATTGTCCGCCTTTGACTTCCCAAACTCCCGAGTTACCGGGAAGAGGATTTGATGAGGTCAAGGGGGATTCTTTATTTAGTAATGGAATTGGTATTAAGCTGTCGGATTTCAAAAGAGAAAAATTGAAGACATTGCTTCAACAAAGTGCGGTTGTTCTTAATGCAGAAGCTAATGAGGTATTCTTGGTTTCTGTATCTTTCTTTCTCCTCCTATTTGTATGATGAAAGAAAGTCAAGTATGCTTGTAGATTCATGTATTGTTTTTTCTTTTAATTCAGTCTTTGGATAATAACTAATTTTGTTTTTATTCATTTATCATCAAGTTTTGATCATTCTATTTTATGAGTTAAGTAATAAATAGTGTCTATGATGCTATTGCAGATGCAAGGTTCTGTTATACAAACGAGCGGGGTACAGACACAACGAAGAAAAAAAAGTTTGTCAAGATTAAGTGGGGCAGAATCTGAAGATGACAAGGGTCAGCCTCCCTCCAAGAAACTGAAACTTTGCTCTTCTTACACTTCAACTAGCCTTCCTCGACTTTCAAGTGCTCAGAAAAATTCTGCTTGTCGCGACAATGCAGAAGCTGCTGGTCCAGAGGAGTCTAAGGTCACTAACGTCATCTATTATGTGTCTCTTAAGGCAAATAATGCAAGTTCAGATTGATCTTGGTGAACTTGATAAAATCAAAGCATTGTTGCATTTGGTTGTCTTGGTCAGTTTTTGTTGGACTGAATTGTTTTTCAAGTGAATCCTTTGTTGAGGATGTAAAGGAGCTAAATTAACTTTTATCTTTCAATCATATTAAAAGCAAGAGAAATAGGTAGAACTGGTAGAAGGGAAATGTGTGTCCAACTGTGTGGTCAACACTCGTAGTACATGAACTACAAATGGGGTATCTTACCTTGAGCCATACGTTTGTTTTTCAGGTGAATGATGATTTGAAGTTCATTCTAGAGAATGATAGCGATGAGATTGACAAGATGATGATGAAACTTAGTGATGAACTATCTGCAAAGGTAACTCTAAGAATTTACTCCTTAATAAATAGAAGCAAGTGCGTACTCTTTTTCTTTCAATCCAACTGTTTTATTTCTTTCAACAATCAAATATTTTGAAACTGACAGGAAACTTGGAGCTTGAGTCTTAGTGGTTTAAGGTGATTATGTAGGAGTGAAAAGACTTTTTGTTTGTTTGTTCAGCTAGGGCACATGCAGCAGCAGCTTGAGACACTTCTTGATGATGCGATGTCCACCTGCAGGTAGTGGTTGATTATTGCTTAAGTTTTATTCTCTTCAGCTAGCAATTGCATTTTGTTAGTAACATCTTTCAAAATCTAAAAAATACCAAATTACCGTGGGGATGTTCAAGTTCTATAAAATGCACTATGCAATCCACTTTAGAACTATTAACCAAATACTTAAGGAATGGTAAGATAGAGACAGAGAAAGTTTAATTAAGGCTCGGGTCAAGATACGGTGTATTCCAACGACGTACCAATTTTTGTTAACACCATTGTAGATTTGTAGTGAAAATGTTTGGTCCATTCACAAGGCTTAAATATATTACCAAGTGTAGGTTCACTTAGAACTAATTCTCTCCTACTTTTTGAAGGGTTATTCAAATGTTTTTACGATCAGTACATTACCTAATTCAAAATTATCTGTGATCTACAGGCCAATGACCTTTGCTGAGAAAAAACAGCTTCAAAAGATGATTAAGGCATTGCCGCGTGAAAATCTTGACCGTGTTGCAGAACTTGTCAAACGTGGCAAGCGGGGAGATGAAAAATCTGATGATGACATTCATGTAGATCTTGAAAAAGAGGTACGGGAAGAGCATATGGATATGCTTTATATAGTTCTTTGTATATTCTAATCTTCTGTTGCATCTTGCTTTTGCAGAATATTGTAACGCTTTGGAGATTGTATTACTACGTCAGAGCGATCGAGAAAGCTAGGAAGCTCTCCTTATAGATCTCAGCATGTACATTGTATCTTACTAACTAAAAAAAGTTTTCTACAACTAGACTGTCGTTAGGAGCATCAAAATTTTCGGTACATCTTTCTGAAGTTTGGAAATGAGTCTGTTTGTTGGATTCTTGATTTTTGGTAACGCTCCATGTTGTGTTCAAATCTTACTGCTAACCCTGATGGTTTGAACACATAAGCTGGAAAGTACATCTTTTTGAAGTACATAAGAGAGTTTAGCCATCCGCCATGTGTGGACTTCTGTTCATTTTACTTATGCGCCCTTGAAGTAATCTAGCGTGAAACAAAATTTAGATAAGAAGTGTCACGTTCTTTTATAAGTGATAAAAGTATCAACGTACTGTGATCACGAGAGACAACGTCATTTTCCCACTCAAACGGCAACTAAAATTGTCATTATTCACATAAAACGACAGGAAACTATATACCACAGACAAATATAATTTTAAAGTTAAACAGACAACGACATGTTGTTTTGGAGACAGGAGACTTGACAAGAAGGGGGGAATTTTGTTTTGGAGACAGGAGACTTGACAAGAAGGGGGGAATTTAGCCCTGATTTGTTAGTTTGAATTATGTTGATTTAAATTTTTATATTTGAACTGAAAAATCTGAATAGTTTGATTTAAACAGTAGTTCGAACTGGGGTTTGGATGTATATTTAAAGTTTTAACTCGAACATAGAATATAATTCGAATTAGTTTTTGGATGAGAGTTGCGAATTGTAAATCTGAACAGAACTGGTGTTTGGTTTGAAAACAATTCTAACTGTGAATTTAGTGGTAATTGTGTTAAAAAAAATACTTTTAAGAATAAAAAAAAATTGACATTGCATTAAAAATAAACAACACCCATATATATATATTTTTTTGGTAATAGCACACCTATATTATTAAAAAGAATTCTTCTTTTTTCTACTTAAAAATTTTTTTTTGATAACGTTAGGTTCTTTTATTAGGCATTCTTTGCCTGCGGTGTTTTAATGGGAACCAAAATATATATTTTGTTAATTACGTATTTGGGTAGCCAATTGTTATTGTTGTTGTTTCATTTTTTTTTTTTTTTTTTTCTTTTTTTTTTTTTTTTCCTCTTTTTCTTTTCTCCTGCGAATGGCAATCAGTTTGTGGGAAAAAAATTATAGAAAAAAGAGAAACAAATGCAACCACATTAGAAATAGAAACACAAACAAAACATTAGTTCATAAGAAACAGTAGTACAACGCCACACAAATAATAGATAATACATAAGTACTACATTCTTACCCCATAACGTAGATAAACAGTAACAACATCACTAATTTTAAAATTGTAGTGCACCACAGAAGACCAAAGTTCTACCTGTACCATGGGCGTACTTGGTAAGCATTCCACATCTCAGCAGCAATCACATCTCTGAATTGCCCCATCTCCGCATTACTGGCTCTATTCGAACGCACCGCTGGACCATCAGGAACTTCATCAATTTCCAAGTCCTCATTGTCATCATCGTCTTCAACAGACTCGGGATTAATTTCACGCACCGGTACCCCATCTTGATTGAAGCAGTTTAGAAGGCTGTCATTTTCTTGGAACATTTGGATATAGTTGTGCACGACCGCGCAAGCGACAAGAATCATGGTTTGTTTCGACATAGGGTAAGTGTTTATGTGTTTAAGGATAGGAAACCTTGCTTTCCACGCTCCAAAAGTGTGCTCAACACAACTGCGAGGCGAGGAGTGTGTAGTTGAATACTTCACGTGGTGATCTGAGACCACCATGTCGTTTAAGCAATAAACGACAGTAAACACTAAAATTTCACCTTTTTCTTCTTTTTTCTTTGAGCAAGAATTCACCTTTCTCTTTTCCTTCTAGTTAATGGATACAACCAAAATTCATCAGAGGTTAACGAAAATGAACATTGAAAAAAAAAATACGAAAATCAAAAGTTCGGGAATCAATATAAAGTTGCAATACTTCCCTGAAATATTATTACATGTGGAAGTTAACTGCATTTGACTGATCAACTATGACAGAAGAAAATATGGGGAAAATAGGACCTGACAAGAAATTTCCATCCTTCCACATCAAGCTTTCTGGTGACACTATAAGTACATAATAATAATAATAAATTAAAATTAAACAAAGTATAAAATGCTGAATCTCTCTCCAAAAGTTATACAACAACCGCAAGGCTCATAGAATAACATTCTATCTAAAATGAAAACGAATTACGCCTTGGCCTCTGTTCAGCAACATTTACTCTGATTGCCCTTCCATCCAAACTCTGAATACCAAGAAAAACATAAATCAGTCTCCATAATTTATCACTCCATAAATTTGATAACAAATGTTTATTCTTTTTGGATTAATAGAATAGAGAAGTCTAGTCATGTTAGTTATAAGGATCCATAACTATATGTCCTTTATCTTAGAGGAATTCAAATACTACATAGAACTAGAACCCTTAAAAAAGCTTGATTAATTTCTCAAATGAGATCTTCATCTTCTGAAAGCATTATGGTTATCTGGATTGACTTGTTCTACGCGGGTTTACATTACAAAGAAGAAACTTCGAACTTTAAATTAAAAGAAATGGTGGGAGTGGGAACAACCTGTCCATCAAGAGCAGCAATTGCGTCATTCACTTCTGTCTCAGTAGACATTGTGACGAAGCCAAACCCTCGTGAGCGCCCTGATTCACGGTCGTAAACTACCCTGGCATTTACCACCTTGCCATGTTCACTGAAAACCTGCTCCAAACGGGCATCATCTACTTGCCATGGAAGGTTACCAACATAGATTCTGAAAGAAGGTTCATTCACTCTTCTTTCGGGCCTTGACCCTCTAGGAGCAGCCTTGTTTACAGTCAAGAATCTACCATCTAAATCCTGTTACACAAACAAATGGACTCTTAGACCACTGAGTTATGATGCACGTTGTTTGTGCTTTATGCCTGAATGGTAAGTTTTAGCTTTTAATAAGTGAAAGCTTTCAATTGAGCAAAAGGAAATTAAAAACAACACCACCAATGTTTGAACGGTTAAACGCAAAAGGGTGACTAAACTTGCACTAGGATTTGGACTCAAGATGTCTGAATTTACGACTCATCGCAGAGTAGTGCCTCGCCACTAGGTGAGAAGTATATGGGCCATATGTTTACTTCTTTGAACTGAACAAGTATACAACATGCACGAAACAAACCCTTTCTTAGGTGTAAATTAGGTTGTATACCACTTTTGAAGTCCAGTTATTCAACTGTGCCACTTTGATGTGAAAATCAGACTTAAATTTGAAACAATAGTGGTATGTTTATATTCCAACTCTTCAGTGATATCCTCTAATTCATCCCTTTCTTGTCCTAGGCAACATTCTATAGTGCTACAACAAACAATGCAATCTAGCATTTGAACTATTTTCATCTTTAGAGAATAACAATCAAGATTACATTTAAAAAAAAAAAAAAATAGAGTGCTTACATATCGGTGGAACATCTCCACAGCTTTCTCAGCCTCTTCAACAGTACTCATGGTCACAAACCCAAACCCTCTACTCTGATCTGTTTCTCTATTGTAAATCACCTACTCAAACAACAACAACAACAAAAAAAACAAAAAACAAATTCTCATCACACAAACACAAACATAGTTCAACAAAAACAATTAACTTTTTTTCGATAATTTTTTTGTGGGGGTGGTTTTACCTCAGCAATTTCAACAATCCCAGCCTGGTTGAAGAGATTAGCAAGTTTCTCACTATCAACATCAAAAGGCAAATTACCCACATAGAGCTTGGCCTCTTCTGGTGGCTCAGGATAATATTCTCCTTCTCCTTCTCCTTCTCCTTCTTCTCCTCCTTGTTTCTCTTGAGTTCCCACAAAGTCTCCTTTGCCAGAACTCTCGTTTCCCCAATTCTCGCCTTCATCGGAAGAAGCGCGAGCATCTAAGCCTTGTTCTTCCTCTTCCGTGTCCTCCTCCTGAGCCCAGTCCGAGGTCGGAGCAACGAGTGGGACTATGCGAAAAGACGAAGACTTGGGCTTGAGAGAGAGCCATGGCCATGACAAGAGATGTTGGTTGGGGAGTTTGATTGAGGATTTTGAGAGAAATGGGTGTTGGGTTTTGGGGGTGAAGAAGACTGGTGCTGAGGCCAAACAGCTCTCGGCCATTGATAATGCATTCGTTGCAGAAGGCATGGTGGTTAGAGAGAGAGAAGAGAAGGGAGAGAGAGAGGATAAGGAGTTAGAGAGAGAGAGAGAGAGAAGGGATGGTGCTGGGTCACATAAGCTTTAGGACGGTCCAAGGATTTGCAGGTGAAAAATGAGAAGGAGATAAATCGTGTTTGTTTAAAAATTTTAAAAACAGACTGAAAATAAAAAATAATGAAAATGATTTTATTGAAAGTTATTTTTCTTTTTTTTTGTTTTCATTTTTTAATACTTGTATATTAAATAATTAATAATTAATTGTTAATTATATTATATATTCATTAATAATTAATAAATAGGTAATAATTATTTAATTATTATAAATAGTAATTACTCAATTAATATTTAATTTTAAATTATAATTATCAATATATAATATACTAATAAATAATAAATAATAAATAATAATTAGTAATTAATCATAATAAAAAGAATAATTACCAAAAATTAATCACGTGATATATCAAATAATAGATTATTAAATAAACATTAGTAATTAATTAACTAATTATTTAATTATGTAACTTAAAGTTAATAATTTAAATAGTAAATGAAATATTAATAAATTATGTATATACTAATTATTTTTCTTAATATACTAATTAATTACTTATAATCTAAGTAATGTGAGTGCATTACTATCACTATCATAGTAATTACTTATAATTACTTATTAATTACTATTTTTTAATTATTTATCATATTAATTTATTATATATGTAGTTTAATTATTAATGTACTCATTAATGATAATTTATCTATTATTATTATATTATTAATATATTAATTTTTATTTGCTAAATATTATCAATTATTAATTACTTAATATATTAATTTAAGATTATTAATTGCATGTACTCAAAATAAACATAAATGTAACTAAACACGATTTTACTTTTTTATCATACTCAAATCAATCTCTTGAAAAACCACCAAACGTAATTTCAGAATCGACTTTAGAATGATTTTTAATACAATCTCATTTTTATTTTTGTACCGAAAACAAAACTATTTTGAAAACATTACCAAACTGGCTCATGTTCAGAAGAAAATAAGTGTGACCATGGGAGATTTATTGTCATATAACGAAACGTTTCTAAGAAAAAAGTTTTGAACTCCACATCTGGCAATTTAACCTGCCGTTGAATTTCACGTCTTTAATACAATGCGAGATTGAATCTGCGGCCTCTCAAACGCAAAATTCATTCCACTTTATTTCTTTTGTTTGATCGAGTTGTTATTAATTTGAATCTGCCGTTCTTTTTGTGTGTGTTTTTAAAATATTTGGGGTATAGGAATTTGAGGACGTCAACAATTCTTTTTTTAAGGACTGAGAAAATTGAGATGAAACTTGTAAGTAAAATCTTTAATATTGCTTTAAAATGAGTCCTCAACTCCCAAGTGGATTAGCCTTACAATTAATCACCATTTTATCTTAATCACAGTACTCCTTTTGAGGAGATTGGAGAGTTTGAAATTCTATCTATTCTATGCGTGCTTTGTTTGAAATTCTGAGTTCAGTAAGAAACAAAACTTCATTTTGGTTTAATGCTGCACTCATTATGTAGATCATTCTCAACCCCTTGAGATTTTTTGCATTTTCAAAACAAAGTAGAGGATAAAACTATGACAGTTTTCAAGTTAAAACCATTCAACAATGTCATAAAGAAGATTTCGAAAGTTTCATCTCCATTCTCCAGAAATGTTACAAACAGAGCTTAACTAAAAAATAAATGTTTTATAATCAAGGATAAACCTAGCTACTAAACTTTACAGGGCTATCTTTTCTTTTTTCTCTTTTTTTTAAAAAAAATTTTATTTTAAAGATAGATACTAGTACTTGTCCATTAATTTCTTTGCATTAGCCACAAACTATGGTGGGGCAGAGAACATCTTGGTATAGACAGTGATGTTCATTCTTAATTTGCTCACATTTCATGTCATTAGATTGAAAGAAAACTCATTATATTCCAATACTAATACTTCAATAGTACATTTTTCTAGCTTATATTCATTGTATATTTTCAAGTGTAGAAGAAAGAACAAAATAGAATACAGAGATTCATGATCAAGAACAGTGTTGTAAATGGAATATGTTGAATCAAACACCATGGCTTCACTTCCATGTTTGAATCTCTGGAATTCATTCATAAACAGGCTTGAAGTTCCTGTAAGCTAGAACTGCATAAAAAGGGTCTGAAGCAGGGATAATTCCCAGCAATCCCAGGGACCAACTGAAGGGCAATTGATCTCCTTGAGCAGTATTAGCAGCTGGTGATTTCTTAATGACCTCAGGTTGTGTAAATCCTTCAACAGATTGGAAGTATTGATTGACCAATTGTACCCGGCTGTACTCGGTCCCGTCCCTCCACGCGGTTATGGCTTTTTCGTAGAACATTCGATTGCTGAAGCTCACTATGAAAACCCCTCCTGGCTTTAGCACCCTAAACACCTCTGCAAACACCTAATGGGGGAATTTAGTCAGTAAGATTGCTTTTTCGAGTTTCGATTCTTCTGTTTCCAGAAAATGTAGCACTTTCTCCCCACATTTCTTTGCTTGAGATTCAGTGATGCTTTTGTGTGCTGTGTGTTTTTGACCAAAAACTCAGAAATACATTATTAAACATTCATAGTCAAGAAAATATGCAGCATTATAGTACAAGAAGTGGTTGGGCTATGCCATGGAGAAGAAAAAGTTAATTGAGGAATTGCAATTTCTTGCTAATTCACTCTTGCTTTGTAAGTACTAACTGGGATGGGACAACCATTTGGATGCAAGGTCATAAATCTAGTGGCGTGTGATTTTAGTTCTATAAAATCAATAATAAACATGACGAAAAGTTTTTATATGAATATCAAGAACGCATATGCGTCAAAATTCTGTAATATCTATAAAACCGAAATTATAGTTTTGTCTTAACTTTGTATCCCCAACAGTAACGAGTTATGTTTTAGTTTTATGATGTGTAATGAAGCTGTGTTTTCAATTATGTGCACCGTTTATCTTATAAAAATGAACTAATTTTAGTAACAAAATGCAATGAAACTGATGAGTTAAAGTGAACAATGAAAATTCAATTGGAACTTATGTTATGCGGAGTCCTTGATGAGATGAACTGATCAGGAGGAAAACCACTTGCAAATATACAGAGCTAATAGGCCTAACCATTTTTTTCTTTAAACTCTCACTTTTACCCCTGCAATACAAGACAAATTATAACTGTTTTTCACCCATTTGGTTTATGGATTAGAACCATGTGATTAGAATCATTTTTAATTTACGTGTATTTCACTTTTACCCCTGCAATACAAGACAAATTATAACTGTTTTTCACCCGTTTAGTTTATGGATTAGAACCATGTGATTAGAATCATTTTTAATTTACGTGTATTTTTTATGAGAGAAAATACTGTAGAGAACCACGAATCATGATTCGAATCGGCGAACGAATCCCTTTACCAAACATGCCTCGTTCATGGTCATTAAAAATTTATTTCTAACATTCCTTTCAATATGCATATCTTTCTGTTGGTGACTCATAGACTAGGTAGTGGCGGTTTGAATTGAAAATTTGAACGGAAATAAATTTATTTTTTTTATATTACAGTAAAAAAGTTTGAATTATGGTTGAAAAAGCTAACCTTTTCGGGCTGTTGCAGGTACTGCACACTAACGGTACACAACACCGCATCAAAACTTGTACTCTCAAGCTCAAGTTTCTGATCCACATTCAGATCCTTCACAAAGAAGTAATCCAAACGAGGGTTCTTCAAAAGCTCCTCCGCATTAAGCCCATGTCCCACCACTCTCTTGTACTTAACCTCACCGGGCAAATGGCTAACCCAAGAGCTCGTCAAATCAAGAACTTCAAACTCAGGCCTCAGTCTCTCTCTGTAGAGCTCGGTCAACGTCGAAATGAAGCCGTCGTCCACGTGGGTGACGAACCGCGGGTAAGCGTAGAAGTCCCTGTCCGAATACGGGTTCAGCTTTGTTCTCTCTTCTTGGGAAAGAACGAGACGTTTGACTTTCCCAGCAGCTGATGATGATGATGATGATGATGATGATGATGACGATGATTGGTCTGTTGGGTTGTTTTCGCTGGATGTACTGGTACTGCTCATCTTCACTTTTGATGGGAAAGAACTACTTTTGGGTTTGAATATAGGAGATGATGAGATTGTTAACTTGGGGTTTAAACGAATGTTGAACATTTTTCTTTCTTTTTTTAAAAAAAAAAAAAAAAAATGTTTTGGGGTATGTGTTTTTTGTTTCAAAATTTCTTGAATGTTGAAGATATGTGGAAATTGGAGTGATAAGTGCTTAGAAATGCATATGGTGGAAGATAACACGTTAATGGCTGTCAGCAAATTTGAGAAGCTTCTGTTCATCTTCTTTTGGGCCTACAAATAGTACCTAGGCCCATTATAGTGGGATGGGTCTTGAGCTGATTGTCATGTTTGTGGACCCAGCATCTACCAGTGCTCGAGCCTTGTGAGAAGAATTGAGGTAAAATTTAGGGCTTTTTACAGGAACAGTACAAATTCTAGGGTTGGATTGGCTTGTGAAGAGAATTTTTTTTTTTTTTTTTTTTCCTGCAGAAATTGTCAGAGCCACATTATCTCAAAATGTTTGAAATACCAAATATAACCTTAAAGATACCAGTAGGTATCCGCCGTTATACCGGCTAAGATACTGGTATCCAGTCAAGATACCCATTTGTTCTCTTTACTAATTGAATGAGGTTTATTTTTTAATGGAGTGCATAAATAATATTTTTACCATTTTGAGTGGTGTTTTTAATTTTTTCTAATAATCATTTATGCACTTTTTAAAAATTCTTGCCTCTCTTTTTTTTTTTGAAGGAAAATTCTTGCCTCTCATTGTGTATCAATTGAATCGAATTGTAAAAGAATGATGCAAAACTAATAAGTGAGCTAAAGAGGGCAGATGTTTTCTGATTTTCTCGAAGAAATTATCTGCTCAATAATGGGTTCGATGGCCCAGGTAACGGCAAACGACATCATATTGTAGTTTGATACAATATGAAGGAACTAGTTTTTATATTAAACGACACCGTTACCTTTTTGAATTATATTAACCACGTTTTCTTTTAAACGACAATGTTACTTTTTTTTGAAATATATTAACTGTAATTAATTGGATAAACTAGTTTTAAAAATTGCATTTCTAAAATTGCCTAATTTATTGTAGTTTCTTTGTTGTTGGAGTCGTTTCAACATATAAAATACACGGTGCATGTTGCATACGTATATTTTCTAATATGCACATGCACACCTCATGACAATATAACATATTCTTTAATATCAATTGAATTAGTGTTAATAACTAAAATATCTAAGATTTTTCTTTAAACTATATAGATATATGCAGGAATCACGAGAATTAAAAAATTAGCCTAGTAAAGACTCATTTAAATTGTGAAAAGTCAGGCATTGGTTACGAAGTGGAAGGCATCGTGACGAGGGAAAAATTAAAATTTCGTAATTACACTTTTGATCCTAATCCCTCCTCTCTCCCCTCCAATCCACTCTACCAAACATACTCTAATTTTTCTTTGTCGTTGATCAAACACGAAGGGTGCGTTTAGAGCAAAGATTCGTGTCATAGTTCAAATCATAGTTCGTGATGACTCGCTACAGTGTTTTCTTTCACAAAAAATACACGTAAATCGAAAATAATTCTGAATTCATGAACTAAACATCCCCAAAAAATGATAGGAACGATAGCATTGATCATAAACACCATCGATATCTACAAAACGAAAGCGACAATAAAATTCACATCTCTTCATAGAGGCAACGAAAAAAAGGCCGTCCAAGGTCCAAAAGTTAATTGCCAATTAGGGACAAATGGCAACGAAGCGAGCACTTTTTTATTTTTGGTATAAATAACAACAAGACCAAAATTGTCATAATTCTTCATTTAAAAAAAAAGATGAAGTTGTTCGAGCAAACGACAACAATGAAACACCCCAATAAAAAAATAAAAGAAATAATAAAAAAAAGAAACCAATGATGTTAATCTTCACACTTAACAGTTTTTAACCCCAAGAGAGTTAGGATTAGGAAGAAAAGAAAAGGATATCATAAAGCAACGACATTCATAATGCCATTAGATCCACTAAGGCCATTGGTCCCCCCCTATTTCTTATCTCAATTATCAAATTTACGAGAATAATAAAGAAAATGTGGAAACAAATCAATCAATTTATGTCTTGATTACCGTCAAAATAAAATTTTCTTTTTTCCACCTAATTTTTTTAAACAAAAGCAAAGGCAAACCAACCGATTTAATTGTATGCTTCGGTTGTATGATTCTAGCTAACCATGTAGGCAGAAGGAACTTTAGCTTTTATGCAATGTAAGCACCAAAAGCCCAAAGGCAAGACAAGAATAATCATAGCTTGTCCTCTCATACTTGTCCACTCAAACGTGCAATGAGCTCTATAATTACGTGAAGAAAGGTGATCCTCTCTCAATGGGCGTCCTAAAATGATTAAACTTCTTTTATTGAAATGATTTAGATTATGGTTAAAGGAAACCATAGTTTTGGTCTTGTAAGCAATGAAGGGTACATTATATATGGCATAGGCAAGAAAATAGTTGTTCCAAACCTTAATTTATTTTTCAAAAAAAAAAAATCTCTATAGATGGAATATGACTTGTTCATCATATATACATTATATATGGCATAGTATTCTTAAGTTGAGAAAAAAAAAAAAAGTCAAACATTTTTGTAACACACTTTTTTCCTCTACCGGATAGAGTTGGAGAAACTAAAGGGTAGGATTTTCTCAAAATGAAAAAAAAAAAAAGAAAAAAAAACAAGGATCAATCTCAGATAAGGATCACTAATTACATGGAATCAATGGAGTTATAGGGTCTATCTATCATATTGTCTACGGTCTACCTATTACTTCACTAGGAATATAAATTAAAGGGGGGCAGAAAAAGTATGACTCCATAATTAATTAGCCAGTGTTTTCCCCCATCTTAGTATCTAACATAAGTAAACAATTAAAACAATAGACTTTTAAGCTACAAATTTCAAACAATCAAAACAAAAATGCATATATAAATATTATGTAGATTAGAGGGCCATATAAGCCATGATTACTATATTGTCAATTGATATCCAGCTAATGGGGTATCCAGATGCCAACCAACCCAAACCCAATTGATTGGTTGTGTTTGGGGGTCCCAAAAATGCAATTGCACGTGCACCGTGCACACTTGCAACAGACAAAGAGAGCAGGCGGTCATTTTGTCATGTTTAGAATTGATTCCGTTTTTATTTTTCACGTTTTTTAAAAAAAAATAAAAACGTTTTTAAAACGGTGTTTGGCGTAATAAAGACAAAAAATAAAAATGAAAACGATTTTTTAGTTTAGTGAAAAATGAGAGAGAAATGAAAAATGATTTTTAGTCGTTTTTCATTTTTTGTTTTCTCCTCTCTCGAGCAGAGAGAAAGAGAGAGAGACATTAATGAGTTTTTTTTTTTTTTTATACTCAAAACAATCTTTTAATAAAACTACTAAACACATTTTCAAAAATAATTTCTATCTAAGATTGAAAACGTTTTCATTTTTATTTTCATACAAAAAATAAAATCATTTTAGAACGAGTTCCAAACGCATCCTTTATTTTTCTCTGTTTTATTTTTCTCTTGAGGGGTTTCAAGACTTCTTTATTAATTGGGTCAATTTTTAATTATTAGATATGATTAAAATCACATTAAATTAAAAAATATATATACAAAATAGATAATTATTAATACAAATTTAACAGTTAAAAATAGAGTATATCCATAATTTAATTTTTGAGGACTTATTAAGAAAAAGAAAAAAAAAAAAAAAAAAAAACTCTTTTTCTTTCACCTGCCGACCCTTTCCTCAAAAGGGCACCAATATTACACACTGCCCCTTGCCTTTAAAGGTCACAATCACGCCAACAAGAACCGAAAAATGAGTTATCATCATGCAAAGTAAAACTTGCCCACAATAGTGGTCGGGTTTCTATTGCAAACATCCACATCAAGCCCACGTAAAAACATTTCTCAAATATTTTGAAATCAAATTGTTTTCTATGTGCCCTTTCAAAAGTTGAGGTTGTGTTCCCTCTTTGCTATCTCTTTAGGAGACCTATGATCATCATTTGCATAAAAACATCTGCAGGCTTGAACTACTAGACTCTTTGACTAGTTTCTGCAGTAAATTAAGGGCACATCAAAATTGTACATTTTGTGGGACAAAAAGGGCCCTCCTTGCCCTTGGAGCTAATTTTTAGTGTAGGGAGGGCACATTTTAAGATATTAATGGGGAGTTTTTCCGTTGTTCCATCTTTTTTAAGAATGTTGATATTTTCTGTTTTTTAACCTTAAATTTAGTTAAAATTACACTAAATTAAAAAAAATATGCATAACAGACAGATCATGATACAAATTTAATAGTTAAAAAGTAAAAAATCTAAAAAGCAGAGAACACCGGAGAAAGTCTCATATTAATAATATACTAAATACTAATATTTTGAGTCAATTGAGGGCAATAACAAGCTACCTAGGTGATTAGCATTTTGGGCTAGCTGATTCGGTTCCCTTTGCTTGTTTTGAATTGGTTATCAAAATAAATAAAAGAGTAATTGTAATTAATGCTACCAAATCAGGTTTACAAACATTGCACAAATTGTTCACTAAATAACAATAAGAGTAGGGATACGACTTGTGATTCTTTTTGGCTATTATTATTATTATTATTATTATTATTATTATTATTATTATTATTATTATTGTTGTTGTTGTTGTTGTTGTTATTAGTTTTATTTTATTTTTCGTGCATGAGAGAAAAATCTATTCTTCTTGATAAAAAAAGTAGGAAATAAAGTATGAAAGAATATAATTATAGAAAAAGTACGACCATTGACATTCTCTATTCTACTTTTCACACACTTAATAAAAAATTTTATTACTAAATTGCATATTAATAAAATTAGACAAAAGTATTTGAAAACAAATACTCATCACACACTCCACTTTAAAAAAAAAAACGATCATGCACAAAAAAAAAAAAAAAAGAACATGCAAAAAAAAAAAAAAAGAACATGCAAAAAAAAAAAAAAAGAACATGCAAAAAAAAAAAAAAAGAACATGCAAAAAAAAAAAAAAAGAACATGCAAAAAAAAAAAAAAAGAACATGCAAAAAAAAAAAAAAAGAACATGCAAAAAAAAAAAAAAAGAACATGCAAAAAAAAAAAAAAAGAACATGCAAAAAAAAAAAAAAAATGATTCCCTTCTAAAACTTATTGTGCCATACTTTTCTAAAATAGTAGGGATAGATTCCACCATAAGAGAACATCTCCACGAAGAGTACTACGTGGTTTATTTCTTCATTTTGCATTTGATAATTTCAAAATAATTGAAGAAAAAAATTCCTGATTTGTAAAAAAAGGAATTTGAAGTTTGAAATTTTTTTTTGATTCGTCCATGTATGATTGGATTTATATACTGATAGTTAAATTTTTTTATTCGTTTATATGTTGATAATGAGTAAAATTGTCGATTCGTTTGTATATTGATCGTATGTGAACATCAATTTTCCTTTCTTGGTCTATATATCGTATGTAAACTTTCTGCGAGTAATCAGAGTATAGCTCTTTTATTATAATACCATAAACATGGTTGAAAGAAAAAATAAAATAAAAAAAAGAAAGACGGCAGTCTATTGTACCGGGATCTTAATTCTTATCTTAAAAAAAAAGAAAAGAAAATAAAACATGACCAATTAGAAAAATAAATGATAAATTTGTTTAGTGGGTGAGCGAAAAAAGAAAAAAACAATACATTAATCAAGTTGTAGAGATTTTTTAGAATTTTAAGAGGAGTGTAACAAGTAATAATTAGATTTTAAAATTTAATTAGTGGTCGGCTTAAGAAAGGGTGTGTTGAAAAGTAAAATGAGGGTATCAATAGACGCAATCTTATAAAAATTGAGTAAAATTAAATTAGAAGAAAATGGTTCTTCTTAAAAGAAAAAATTTTTATCGTGTTTTTTGGTGTTGCGAAAAATTATCTTTTATTCTTAGCTTAAGGAGAAGAAAAGAAAGAATTAATGAATAGACGCCCGTGTTCATTTTTACACTATGTGATAGTCAACACCAACCGATTTTGATAATGTATGTTTCTGCCATTAAAAAAAAACAGAGAGAGAGAGAAAAAGAAAAAAAGTTATAATTTCGACATTTCTTATAGAAGGTCAAAATCAACGGCAAATCACACATCTTATTGTGCCACTTGGTTGGTAAATATAATTTAAATTATAACTTATGCTAATTAGGAAGATAATTATAAATAATACTCTTGGTTGGTACACTAATATTTTTAAGGGCCAGTAGTACTTAAGCATATATATATATATGAACGTGTGTATATATATGAGAAAGCAAATACAAGACGCTCTATGAGCACTCAATCAAAGAGCGAAGAACATTTTTGTGTGATCAACAAATTGAGAGATAAAATCAAAACACTATGTTTGGGCCCTTTACAACTACATTATTATTGGCCTTGCTCTTTGGCCTAACTTTTGCTTCTCTTCTTTTAAAAAAACTCTTTGCCAAACAAGAACCTCAACAATATGAACACCAAAACTTGCCTCATGGTAGCATGGGATGGCTGCCCTTTCTCGGTGAGACTCTTGCCTTCCTCAAGCCTCACAAATCAAACTCCTTGGGAAGCTTCCTTCAGAAACGTTGCTTTAGGTAATTATTTAATTTAATTAATTAGGTTTTGTTTTGAGTAGTATTGCTAGTTCACAGTGAATTACAAGTTCTTGTTATGTTTTGTTAATCAAACTGATCATTAATTTGAGTGTGGTTATAACTAATAATCCACTTAATTCTGTGGGGATATATGCTTTAGGTACGGAAAGGTGTTCAAGTCTCATCTTTTCGGCTCGCCGGCGATAGTTTCGTGTGATCTTGAGCTCAACATGTTCATTCTTCAGAACGAAGACAAGCTATTCCAAACAAGCTACCCAAAGGCCATCCATGGCATCCTTGGGAAGTATTCCTTGCTTCTCGTTTCCGGAGACCTTCACAAGAAGCTGCGGAACGTTATCGTCGGCTTCATCAGCTCATCTAAGTCCAAATCCAATTTCCTTCAATGTGTGGAGAAGCTCTTGATCTCCATGTTCGAATCATGGAATGACCGCGAACAAGTTTCTTTCTTTAAAGAAGCTAAAACGGTGAGACTAGTAGTGATTGCTACCGCTAAATAGTAGCTAGCTAGTACTAGGCAATTAATAAATTGTCTCGTCACTTTATTAAGCCAAAAGATGTTTCATTTAATTTGTTTAACTTGGGATTGTATTAATATGGTAATTGATCAATCAATTTTGTACCTCAATTACGCATGCAGTTCACACTTAGCCTTATGGTGAAGCAACTTTTGAACATTGAACCCGGTGAGCCACAAGCCTCGCAGATCTTAGAAGATTTCGAAACATACATGAAAGGATTTGTTTCTCTTCCG